TGTGGAATGACGGCTGAGCCTGTAGGTTCCGAGGATGCCATCCAATATCCTAAATGCCGGCGGGGCCGCGGCGGGGCCCGCTCCCCATCAGCCCCCTAATACCGACTAATCTTTTGGAAAAAAATACCTTAATCTGAGGCCGTATCCGCAGATGATCGTGGCGCGACCGCCCCTAATCCGCAGGCACGTTCGCAGGTGCCGGCAGATCTCCCCGTATCGGATATTAAACCGTGTTCGCAGAGGGGCTTAGCTGCCATCAGAGCATTAATCACCGTGTCCGGCCCTGGCAGGCTGCCCGCCCCGGCACCCCCTCCCCACCGCGGGGCCTTGGGTGCACAGAGCCGGCCCCGCTCTCTGCTCTGTGGTCCCCGAGAAGCCCCTGGGCTCTGCATCGAGGCGCGTCCCCTCCCTTTGGCACCCTTTGGCCGGGGAGGCAGAGAGCTGGGTGCCCCTCGCTGCTCCCCGAGGCACTGACAGCCGCGGCAGCCCCTGCGTGAGGACACCGAGCTGCTGCAGCCAGTGCCCGGCCAGGCGCCAACCCCAGCATCGCTGCGCCGGACGCCGCCGTCCTCCTGAACGGATCTGCGCGGAGGGGGAAGGTGCTCGCCCCAAACACGAGCTGGGTCAGGCGCTGCCACGCGGGTCGCAGGGGAGCAGCGCTCTCCCGAAAGCGGGCAAGGGAGTGGCGAGGGCAGGCGAAGGGAGGTGCCGGCAGGAGCAGGATGCGGGATGCAGAGGGAGAGGGAAGATTCACGGCTCTCTGCGGTGTCTTTTAGATGTCAGGTCGGCGTTCCGCATAGCAACAGACATCTCCCATCCGGCAGGAAAAAGGCTGCAAACACGCAACGTTATTTATTTCCAGAATAAAAGGACAGCAACTTCACAGGGGAGCAGGGACAGCGGGAGCTAACGCCCCTCTCTGTGCTGGGGTGGTGAGAGTCCACAGCTGTGCCCTCTTCTGTTCTGCAGCTGCGGGGTTTTTAATCCATGATTCATTTCAGGAACATTAAGGAGCAAGAAGCAAAGGAGGAGGCCTGAGGAGCGCAGCAGCCTTCCCGGTAGCAGGAGCAGGTACAAAGAGATGGCGGGAGATAAACCTGCCCCAAATTAACGACTCCTGGGGAGGGCAAAAGCCTCCAGTGCGGGGGCCGCGGTTCACGGGGACGCGTGCGATTACAGTTTCCCAAGGTCCCCTTCGAGGGTCCGCACCATTACGTACAGCTCAGCCAGGCCAACCACCGAGGCCACGATTACCGCTGACAGGACGCGCTGGGGACACAAAAAGAGATCAGTGATCCCGTGCGCGCCTCCGGCTGCCGCCCAGCCTGGGAGCATGTGCCTCTGCCGCTCCGGCCTGGCTGGCGCAGAGCGCGCTGTCAGCGGGCTCCGAGGCTGCGGGCTCGCTCGCCGCCGCGCGCTCACTCACCGCCGCAGTCTCTGCGAAGACGTACTGGCTGCCCAGGTACGTGCAGGCAAAGGCGGCCACCACGGTGACAATGAAGTTGAATATGGTGATGACAATGGCTTTAACGGAGCGAACTGGAGAGAAGGGGGAAAGACGATTGTGCTTTTAGGTAAGGCTTGGCGAGTGGGGCTGGGGACAAGCCGTAATCCTGCTAATGGAGCCTGCCTGCGGCTGCCTCAGCTGGACTACAGCAATACGGGAGGATTCGCATGCTTTATGCCTCCAGAAATAGTTGTAAGAACGACCAAGAGGCTGTTCCTTTACTCGAGGAACGCTTTTGTGCATTGAAACCTTCCGGGGAGATCCTCGGGGAGGGACGGGCCACCGGTGTCACCAGGCAGCGGTGCAGCGGCTCCCGCGACTGACCTGCAGGTTCCCGCTGCCCCGCCTCAGCAGGATGGGGAGCCACTCACCTTGCCTCCCAAATTCAGCCAATGTCCCGTTCGTCTCCTAAAAGAAGGGATTAAAGCAACTTGTGATCAGTTGTATTTTAACGTTAGCTGCATAATAAAAGCAACGCCGATGCCCTGTCCTGTCCCTAAGAAGCTCAGAGAGCCGCGGGGCGCCCTGGCAGCGGTTGGGCAGGCTGCAGGGGAGCAGCGGTTCCGCAGGGCCCGGGTTGCTCTGGGTTTACGTTTGTGGTCCGATTCAAGGACGCTGAGAAGGGATCGTTTCTAATCAGAGCACTTCTCACAGCATAAGTGGTTTCTTGCATGCGGGTCCTCCACTGGAGGTTTGTCTTTAATAGAGACAGTAAAGGGTCTCACCCGTGCTCACACAGCTGGCGAGAACTAAATGTTGTGAAGATCTGCACGCTCTTTGTCAAATCAATTTCAAACACTGGATACTGGGGGGAGGCAGGGAAGAACGTGATGAGCACAGGGATGTGGGAAAACTCCTCTGCTTCTCCGTTGTTTGAAAGGAACCCTGCTGCCACTGCTACCCAGCTCTGCCGCGACCACGCCGGTTGGCAGATGAGGCGGCTGAGTTCGACAGAGCAGAGCAGACCTTCCCACAGGGTTAACGCGACAGCAGGATACGCGCAGGGACTCGAATGCGCAGGGACACCAGGGTGAAGGAGGGACAGGCAGGACGGGATCTCGAGGAATGTCAGCAGGAAGGGACGCTGGCTTGTCCAAACAGTCACTGTGCCAAAAGATCCCACCTCTTCCTTGGAAAGAACGAGCGCCCAAACATTACCCTGTTTTTTCAGCTTTTACCTTGACATGAACGATCTCATTTTAAAACCATGATGAAAATGTAACTGTTCAGAAAAGGGCAGCACAGGTGCTCCCAGTAAAACATTCACCGTGGGTGCTCGGTCTCCCTGATCCAAACCCGAGACCTTTGGCACAGCGAGCTGCTCCCAAACGCCGGCATCTCTTCTGTTCCACCGCCCCGGTTACCCCGTCCCACCTCTGCCCTCGACGCCGCGCCTGGCGTCCCCGTGCACGGGCAGCGTGCGCTCCTCGAGTCCTGCCCGTGCTCCCTCCGCCCCGTGCCCGCTCCGCGGGGCAAATCTCCTTTGCTGCCGGGCTGCAGCGGCCGCGCTTCCGAGGGGGGGAAGCCGACAGCGGGCGAGGGAGGAGGCCCCCCCCCCGGGCCACGGGGGTTG